AAAAAAAAAAAAAAAAAAACCGGAAAAAAAGTTAAAAAAACTATGTTATGGAACTTATGGCAGTTATGCGGAAAAATAACCTGAACAACTTTTGCCTCAGGGTCACATCGACATTCTTTACCTTTTTTTTTCTTTTTTTTTGGCCCGGCCGGGCCACTCTGGTAGCCTAGCGCAACAGCCCAAACTCAGAGATTCACTTTGGTATGTGACATGTTTAAAACAGCAGGGTCCAAATGTGACTCGAGCCTCTAAACACCAGTCGAAAAGCACCAATGTGATCAAGGTGTTGGAATCGTCCAAAGAGTCTTAATTTCTCTTAAACCACCACTTCTTCGCCCCAGGCAAAAAGAAAGAGTGAAAATGTATACAATGCTATACATCTGCAACTTTTGGGGCCGGCGTGGCCACCCAAAAAGAAAAAAAAATCTTGCTTGCACCTGCTCGTTTTTTTTTTTTTTTCCCTTTTGGCATGCAGTTCGGTTTCGGGTCGGTAAAACAGCCTCGGACGTGGTGGCCGTTTAGGAGTCTAAAGAGTCCGCAGAGTCGAACCCCACCTTAGGAAGCAAAGCTGATGCGGACGTCCGTCCAAAGTGCGCCAAAGACTCCAAGGTTCCAAACTCGACATTCGGTGAAGCTACTGTCTTTACCTGAATAGAACGCCCGGTCATTATAGCTGCAAATTTTCCCTCAATACAGCCATAATGACCGGGCATTCTATGCGGGTGAAGACGGTAGTTTCCCTCTCTTTCGTTTTGACGTTGCGAGACTCTTTTTTCTGAGTTCCCAACAAGGGGTCCTTTTCCTAGGCTGAGTCTGCCCAGAATAGCCTTGAGCCAGAGACCATAAGGTCTTTTTTCCAACCCAGAAAAGAGGGAGGGGGGGGGAAGATAAAAACCTTTCTCGGAAGTCTCTCCAAAGTTTCTTGGCCTTTTTTTTTTGTTTTAAAGAAAATCATTTATTATAAAACCGGGAAACGGGCCCGGCGTCCCTCACATGAATTCCCTAGCCAATCCAGGCTGGGAGAGGCACTTCCGGCCAGTCCCATCCCCAACCACGGACCTCCCACAGTGAAGACGCCTGTCTTCAGCCCAGCCCGTGCAGAACTCTAGTTGCAAACCCTAATCTATGTTAATACTTAGAATTTAATCCTATTCGAATGTATCAATTAATTCTATATTATCAAAAACAATCACACAAATTCCTGACCTATTCCCTGATACAATTACCATAATAATCCCTAACCCTAAATTATCTACAAAACAGGAACTGTAATCATGACTAATACTCAACACAAAATAAATTCCCAATTAAGGACTAATTAACCAAAACCTTCAAAAATGTCAAGACGTGTAAATCACCTCAAAAATTAAACCCAATTTCGAGCAAAGCAAATTTCCAATAAGCCGAATGTCCCACTCTCTCCGATCCAACAGCCAAAGGGAATTTCAGTCAAAAGACGACAGAGGGAAGCAAGCCTACTGTGGGCGGCAGCAGAAGTAGATTGTCCAAAATGGCATACTTGATGGGGGCAACATCAAGCCTGTCTTTCTGGATAATCTCCAGGATATCATCCGATTATAAATGGCAGGTCCATCCGTAACCCTAAAACTAAAAACCGTCAAGAAGTGTAAATCACCTCAAGAAATTAAACCCATTTTTGAGCAAAGCAGATTTCCAATAAGCCGAAGGTCCCACTCTCTCCAATCAATCAGCAGAAGTAGATTGTCCAAAATGACATACTTGATGGGGGGCAACATCAACCCTGTCANTCCAATAAGCCGAAGGTCCCACTCTCTCCAATCAATCAGCAGAAGTAGATTGTCCAAAATGACATACTTGATGGGGGGCAACATCAACCCTGTCATTCTGGATAATCTCCAGGATTCCAACAATTTGCTCTTCGTGGCATACAGTCATCTGCAATCAAGTCAATGGCTGACGAAATTATCATAATCGAGCACTTCATGCTGTCTATCACCTGCACAAAGCACAACGCATAGCATCACGCAAATTCCTGACCTATTTGCCTAAGATCAAGTATAGTATCTGTTGATTCTGTTCTGATCAGTTAAATATCTGATTCGTGGTCCATCGGACCACATTTGTGGGGGGGGGGAAAAAAAAAAAAAACCTCGAAAACTGACAAAAAGGAAAAGAGGGCAAAAAACCGCGATGGATCCTTCCTTTCCCGTTGTAGGATGAGTTGACAGCAACATAGGCCCCCCCTGACTTGCAGATCTGCTTTCTTGAAAAACCACGTCCACCGCTCCTTGGTTGTGCGCACAGGTACGACAAGCTGCAGGTAAATGCAAGAGTTACTGCAATTGTCTCTGGTGGAGAAGCTGTGAGCGCGGCAACTGAGGGAAACGTTGTCGACATTGTGCTGGACAGGACTCCCTTCTATGCCGAGTCTGGTGGACAGGTTAGTTATGCGACTCCATTCTATGTATGGGGGGTGTTAGACAAGTGGTGGAATTCCCCACTGAAACTCCTTGCTGGAACAAGCCACATTTGTTGAGTGCAGTGCCCCCTGGGTCCCCACAGGGCCCCTCCCCCAAGAAAATTGGCATAAAATGGCTTATGAAGCTCGGGGCGAAGGGCGGTAGTCGTCTTTTTTCTTCAGCCAGAACCTCAAGGAATAGCGACGAGGAGTCACTTGACTGCTGGGGGGGTTCCCAATTTGGAAATGAAACTTGATGCATGCATGGTTTTGTCGTTTCCATGGTCGGTCTTTCGGTGCTTGAGTGATCACCAACCGTTTGTGCCTCTTCTCTGTCGCTGCATTGCCTCTTCCGTCCCTCTCCTATGAAGCTCGGGGCGAAGGGCGGTAGTCGTCTTTTTTCTTCAGCCAGAACCTCAAGGAATAGCGACGAGGAGTCACTTGACTGCTGGGGGGGCTCCCAATTTGGAAATGAAACTTGATGAATGCATGGTTTTGTCGTTTCCATGCTCGGTCTTTCGGTGCTTGAGTGATCACCAACCATTTGTGCCTCTTCTCTGTCGCTGCATGCCTCTTCCGTCCCTCTCCGCGTGCACCGATGCTTGCACCTGATCATAATCAAAGTCATCAACCCAAAAATAAATAAAAAATGTTAATAAAAATAATGTTATTGAAACTTGTGCATAGAAACTGACAAATTTGAAATTTGGGCAAAATAACAAGATGTACTTTACCAAATTTTGCAACTCTGGAGAGCCGCATGAGAATGCTTTTTCAACAGACAAGCATTTGCAAATTGATATGAGGGGGTAACGTGGCATAATTCTTTCATTTTCTTACTTCTGTTGTAAACACATGTTCGGCCTCCTTTTTTATTATCTTCTTATCTCAGAGATGCAAAGAGGTTGTCTGCCATTTCGTGTTACGCCACTCAGCGCTTGATTGGTTTACCTGCTCTCTCTCTCTCTCTCTCTCTCTCTCTCTCTCTCTCTCTCTCTCTCTCTCTCTCTCTCTCTCTCTCTCTCTCTGTGTGTGTGTGTGTGTGTGTGTG